TGTTATATTCTTATATTCCCATAATTTACTTTAATTTAAGTGGTCAGTATGAATGTTATCTCGACTTACTACTGTATTGACTACTTTAACATGACAGGTTAAGTAGTGCTTTGGTTATATATATACACTTGCCACACTGCTGTCTTTTTCTCTCTCTCTTCTCCTTCTCAGAACCCCATTCACGGTGGGAAATCCTTGGCTACTCTAGGGAACATGCACCCAATGTACATGACTGTCTGGATCACAGCTCGTATCAAGCGCGTTCCATATGACCTTACCCAACAAATTCACTATTGATCTCGGCCAATCGCCAATAGAACCTATTGTGCACCTTCCTCATTTGTACTCTACTATTGAAAATGTGGCTGTATAATACTGTTTCTGTCAGTGATATGGTGTAAATATGCAATCAGAAACTGTCTCTTATACTTAATTTAACTGCTATAACTTTTACAGTAATTGTAAAAGCATTTGTGACAATTTGATCTAGCCTGTAAACTGGCGTGACTCTTGTAACTTAGTTATTTGAGAATAAATATATATTATTATTATGAGTCTCAGAAGTAGCAAAAGTATAAGAACGACCCCACTACCACTGATTAGTTGCCTCACCATTCAAAGGGCCGGAAGAATGCACAATTTTCTGCATCTCAAACATGGGTGGATTGAAGTGATGGGTCTTAGTTGATGTAGGATTTAATTTGTACTACAGATGAACTTCTAGAACTATAAACTCAATATTGGTGAGCACAGAGTCTATGGGAAAGCTATAGTTAGAACAAGATCAACTTCGCTTTAAACTTTGCATGTTTCTAAACAAAAAGCTATTAAATTAGTGCAATAAATAAGGAGGTTACAATTATCAAGTAAGACGAGCAAACATACCGACTGATGTAGCGTGTCTTAAGAAATGAATAAAACTATGAGTCACATCAATATATTAAGATAATAATGACTTTTGATTAGTGGGTCATTTACTACAAAAAAAAGGTTTACAGACACCTCAGACCAGATCTCGTGGTGGGCGCTTAAACCATAGTCTGATTTGTTAGTTATGGCATAACTACAATTAGTTATGGAAATAACTAACAGTTACCACAGCATGGTTTCAAAAAAGGTCCGCCGTCTGCGACAAAAGTACTACAGGTAAGGAATGACTGAATTTAGCCATTTGAAAGTAGAAAATCCACATATGATGTCTATGCTGGCTTCAGAAAAGATGGGGTTTCGAACAATGAGTTCTTATCGAATCTATAATGCTTAGGAATCTCTGAACAGCTGCTGGAAAATTAAAGTAATAATATAATATATATTTATTCTCAAATAACTAAGTTACAAGAGTCACGCCAGTTTACAGGCTAGATCAAATTGTCACAAATGCTTTCACAATCACTGTAAAGTTATAGCAGTTAAAATAAGTATGAGAGACAGTTTCTGATTGCATATTTACACCATATCACTGACAGAAACAGTATTATACAGCCTCATTTTCAATAGTAGAGTACAAATGAGGAAGGTGCACAATAGGTTCTATTGGCGATTGGCCGAGGTCAATCGTGAATTTGTTGGGTAAGGTCATATGGAACGCGCTTGATACGAGCTGTGATCCAGACAGTCATGTACATTGGGTGCATGTTCCCTAGAGTAGCCAAGGATTTCCCACCGTGAATGGGGTTCTGAGAAGGAGAAGAGAGAGAGAAAAAGACAGCAGTGTGGCAAGTGTATATATATAACCAAAGCACTACTTAACCTGTCATGTTAAAGTAGTCAATACAGTAGTAAGTCGAGATAACATTCATACTGACCACTTAAATTAAAGTAAATTATGGGAATATAAGAATATAACACACAGATAAAGGAGTACAGCAAAAAGAGGGAAGAGTTGTGCAGTGTCAGGTGGATAGAAGAGAAGTCGAAGTAAGAAGCTGGATTTATGTACGTCGTAATCGAAAGAGTAGAGTTTGTAAAAAGAAAATTTTGATGAATAAAATCTCGCACTGTCTAACTGTTTTTTTTTCTTTATTATTGAATGCTAACCTCTAAGTCATACTGTAAGCGCCTGAGTAAGAATGTTGTGGGTGTCTCGACAGAATAGCGACCTCAGCATAGTTTTGGAAACATGAACCACAGAAGTAGCAGGCGTATAAGAGCAACCTCAGTGTTACTGATTAGTCGTCTCATCAATCTAAAGAGCCGAAAGCAAACAAAATGTTCTGCCCCACAAACATGGGTTGTTTGAAGTTATCGCCCAGTAGCAGCAGTGGAGAGTGACTAGCGGCAGAATTCAGGACGCGCGTTTTGTCCTATTTAGGACTCATCATCTGGATGTACCTGTACCTCAGAGTCAACGTTCTCATGAGGTTTCGATGCAAGTACATCCAGCTGATGAGTCCTTAATAAGACGAAACTCCTGTCCTTAATTCCAATGCTAGTCATCATCCACCTCTGCTAAAAACTCTTGTAATCTGGAAGGCGATGACTTAAATGCAATATCGATGCAACTCTCGAAGTATGTGCATATGCCAAACGAGACCAATCAGTTTTAGTCACAAACTGAGCGATTCAAATAGCCGACACAAATTCAATAATAGTACTAGATTGCCGTCTAGTAGCAGACATGAATGCCAAACGCCTATCTTGAAAAATGGCGCTTAAAATATAGTTCAACGTACTGCCTGGTATTTTTAATTGTAAATACTTCAAGTAAGTGAAACTCAGACATATAATTATATTTCCGATGCCACATGTAGTTGCCAACAAATACGTAAATGTGAGAAACGTTAGTAATATGAGTCCTGGCTTACGGCCATCTAGAAATCAGAATATATCATGGCCTTGAGTCCACTACTCAGCGCCATCAAACTGTAGATCATGTGTTCGACACTTAATGGACATTGTGATTACCAGCAGGCAAACACGTTTTCCATAGTATGCAAAGTGCTAATGAGGTCAGAACTAGCGGAATGAGTTCAGGAAGAAGGATATACACAGAAGGTGACCTGTATAATTGGAAGATACAAAGAGAACAGCAACAAATACAATTTTAGAATCTAGGGGCCTAACCAAACACAATATAATTTGAAAATTTGGATCTCTACTCTTTCTTCGGATTGAGAGTTAGTTTCGTTTTGAAGTACAGGATTCTAAGAAATGATTTCCAACATGAAATATCATTGTTTTTCCTCAGGACTGGATATAACAATATAGAGGACAGAGGAGGCTAGTCCAGAAGTCAGGAACGAACTAAATCCCGACGGCGTGCAGGTTTTCTTACCGATTAGTCGCCTTTCGTAGCCTAATATCGGATGAAGGTGCGTCTATACCTTTATTTTACTCAGGCACGAGAAAAGCATTTTAGTAAATAAACTTACCCTAGTTTTTTCCTTACTGTAGAAATCTGAATTTGAAATGTAGTGTAGGACTAATATGTTGGGGAAACACAATAGAATTCTCTGCTTCATGTGAAATAGGTGTGGTTAGGCTAATAATAAAGCGAGAAATTGGTTACCTGTATAAAATCGTTTAAAAAACTATGCATTTTCAGTTGTTTTGAGTGCGACGGTGACATCACAAGGTTTTACTTTCTCTTTGATCTTCCAGACTATCCAAAAGTTGTGAATTCAAAATGATACTGCCTTCCCTCAAGGCAACCCTCGGAAAATTTCACATCAATGAGCGAATAATCAGGTTCGTGCAAACTTTCTCATTAAGAGTCGTTGCAAATTGTAATGCTCTTGTAATGGTATACTTTTACGAATAAAACCGCTTTGTGAGAAGGAACATTTATTACTGTACTTGGTTCGAACAGAAGTTCTTATATTGTACTCCTTTTGTTTAACTGTACTAAAGACTGTACCAAGCGTGTCATTTCCATTCTGCTTCTCTCTTCGGTGGTTGTTAGCCACTCCTTTAGTCTGGTCTTGATATTATTTCGATATTACGAGGCCAGCGATTAATATACTTCTTCATCCTGAACAGTCTTCTTTCTGACTTCTAAATCTATCGGGATTTACCTTGGTGATCCCGCAAAGGTGTATATTTATATCAACTCATTATACTCTCCCAGCCGAGGTGACCACACCCCCGTATTGGACAGCTTTAGGAAGAGATTTGATAAGCACGTACTCAAATACGGATTATCATCGCTCTCGTGAACAAGCTTTATCTGATGCATGCCTTGAAACTTGCTAGTTCTTATTATTGCTATCCCCTCAGATCACTAAATTAATCTATGTCGCCCACTAACTCTGTTTCCTCTCACTAGCTTACGCTTCGGTCCTCTCGCACAATATTCACTTTCAGTTATTAATTTAAGTTATCCATTACTTACTTAGTCCTGAAATCTTACTCTTATTAGCATCAAAACTTTCTCCTTATTATTCTCTATAATGCAACTAACTGGTCTTCAGTCTGTTAATATGATAGATGCTGGTATTCAAATCATTGGACATACGAACCCACAAGCAACTGCCAACTGATTAGAATTATACAGTCGAGTGGCCAGACCCCTATTCACTGGACACTATGAAACACCTAGAACCGTACCGAAAGAAAAATAATCGAGCGTAACGAAATCAATTGGTTTATATTAGCTCGTGAAAAAGATATTAGATATTGGATAAGGCATATTAACTAGAATGACATCTCTGTAAAGATAAAAAAAAGTACGATACAATGAAGAGTTCCCGAGAAACGAAGTTTAAGTATTTGGAACATCCACATTGCAACTAACTGATCGCCAGTCTGGTAATGTGATAGCTGCTGGTATCCAGAAAACCTACTGCCCTGAAACAAACGTTTTCATTCGAATCCCGAGACATACAAATTCACAACCAACTGCCAAATGAATAGAATTAGATAGTCGAGTGGCTCGTGAAAATGATATTGGATCCTTAAATAAGAGCGAACGCAATGAACTACCAGTTTTAATGAGAATGGAGATATTTCAAGGTGACCGTAAGTGTGAATATGTAATGATAAATAAACTTAGACCCGACTGTGATCTTTTTAAGCACAGCCAAATATGCGTGAAAAATACACCGAGATTATATAAACAAATAACAGTAAACCTAAAACTTCAGCGCACAACATAACTTCGACCTTGGTGTTGCACATTTGCATTCTTCTAGAATGATGGATACTGCGGATGTACTTATTCCTTCTTATCGTAATTAGTTTTTAGGAATTTAACAATCACGCTGAAAAGGTTAAAAAGCTCAGGACAAAACCAAATGATAGTGAACTTCTTGAACTTTACGGTTTGTACAAGCAAGTCACGGTTGGTGACAACAATACAAGTATGTTTTGAGTTTCAAGTTTATTCAGTAGGTGCACCTGGTATGTTCGATCTGAAAGGCAAGGCAAAATGGAATGCTTGGAATGGAAGAAAGGGTGAGTGATCATTCAGGGCTGCACGTGTCTGTACTTGAAAGTAATGTAAAATTGTTTTTCCAGTTAAATACTAACATGATAACTCAGACAGCATACATTTAAAAAAAACATTGTGAAAATTATGTATTGTGTAAACTAAGGCTGAGGGGTTCTGTACTTACGATATTTTAAAAAGAGACTTGTTTACTGTACCTATTCGATACTTTCTGCAACATAAACTTACTGTCGTGTTTTACAGACTGAAGTTATCGATAATCTACATAAAAACACTGGTAATTAGATCAAATTTCATCAGTTGTGGTCGAGTATGTCAGTTTCTACCGTTCTGAAACGTGTTAATGGTGATGCTAAACCTCTTGGTTTTCTGACAGCATAATGTTATTTAGACTTGGACTTCTACTGATCACTACTACGACTGCAATAAGTTAGAAGCTGCTAGATTGTTTACCTGTTTAGATGTAGTGTTTATTAATCGCATTCAGAAATTCAATCAACTTAAGATCTTCCACAAAAGTTAAATGAGTATGTTAATCGGTCAATTTCATTTCTGGTATACCTATAGACTGTTTGGGGTCTTCATCAGTGGACGAACTATACTTAAACGTTGTTTTAGTTAAATAAAAACTATACAATTTAAAGATAGTTGTATGTCAGATCAGTGTAGCTGCACTGCGTCAGATTTTGATTCAGCTTGAGATCCACTCTTTAGATGTCGAAATCAAGTGATATCGGACACAGTAATGTTTTGATCCAAACTATTTTTTATACATGACAACAAAAATAATCGCTAAGCTCTTGTATAGGAAGCATAAAACGAAATGAAACAGTAAATTTGTGCGTATATATATATATATATATATATATATATATATATATATATCTTGTTGATGGTTTCGTTAAATGGTCATTGACCGACCATTCGTCCTCCAACAAACAACGAAACATAGTGATGAGCAAAGTTTATAGTAAACAGCTAATTGTTTTAAATTCATTTGTTTTACTTTGGAGAGCGAGAGAGGTCTTTTCCACTCTAGGCCGCCGCAGGACAATTAGGGCTTTCGATGAAGATAACCAAAAAGTTCCCGTAGTATCAGTTCTTATCATCTTATACGATACAGATCTCACTGAGGTTTTTTAAAGTCTATGTCTGAATTATTCACCTGAAAACTTCCTGTTTCAAAAGTTCAATGACCTTGCATTACAGTTCATGCAGATAAAAAAAAGAATGAACATGTTTCAAAACAAAATTCGTCATCTGAATGGATATTTTCATTCTTAATTCATCTTTTAGTTAGTTGATAAAAGAAATCGTGAAACAGTATTTCTACTTACTAGTGGTATAAATCAACAGAATGTTTTGTATTAACTCATTTCACTCGCTGACCAACCAAATCACGCTTGATGGAGATGCTTTCGAGGGCGTTAACAACTTTACATATCTGGGCAGCATCATCGACGAGAAAGGTGGATCGGATGCAGATGTGAGGGCGCGGATTGGCAACGCGAGGGCTGCATTTCTACAGTTGAAAAATATCTGGAACTCCAAACAACTTTCAAGCAAAACCAAAATCAGGATTTTCAATACAAATGTGAAGACAGTTCTACTGTATGGAGCGGAAACATGGAGAACTACCAAAGCCATCATTCAGAAGATACAAGTGTTTATTAACAGCTGTCTACGCAAAATACTTCGTATTCGTTGTCCAGACACCATCAGCAACAACGAACTGTGGGAAAGAACAAGTCAGATTCCAGTGGAGGAGGAAATGAGGAAGAAGCGTTGGAAGTGGATAGGACACACACACTACGAAAAGCACTTAACTGCGTCACGAAACAAGCCCTCACATGGAACCCTGAAGGCAAAAGGAAAAGAGGAAGGCCAAGGAACACATTACGCCGAGAAATGGAGAAAGATATGAGAGGAATGAACAAACATTGGACAGAACTGGAGAGGGAAGCCCAGGACAGAGTTGGTTGGAGAAAACTGGTGGTTGGCCTATGCTCTATTGGGGGTAACAGGCGTAAGTAAAGTAAGTAAGTAATTTCACTCGCTGCTTCATGTACACATATTTAAAAAAATAGTTTATAAATGGTCCAAAAAATCACCAGTCCTCAAAGTGATATATATATGTGCATTAGTTCAGAGTGTCATATCACACATCAAAAAATCATAAAGAAGAAAGTGATTTCTTGTTTTTAATTTTTTAATTGTTTACTTTTAAATTACAGGTATGTGTAAAGAAGAAGCCAAAAATTTGTATGTGAATAAAGTTAAATCTCTTATTGAAAAATATGGATTACAATAATAATGACCGCTATTCATTACGTTCAGGAAAATGAATCATTTCTTTTGATTCTTTTATATATTTTTGTTATATTTTTGCACATATTAAAGTTGTTCATAATTTCCACCATTTTGTCCTTGCTATTATTGATTTCGTACTAATGTACTAATGTACATTGCTATAGTAGGAATTGTTTTATATATTTTTGATAGTGCTTATATTTGCATGTTCGAATGTTTTGTAAAACATGGATGATATTTTTATTGTCTTTCATATTTTGTTTTTTTTTTAAAAATAAAAATTGATAGACAAACGGAAACATGGAAATACTTTTCGTTCAGAAACTGTCGACCTCAACGATTGAGACAAGTGATGATTATAGTGTGTACAGTCGTTCAGTTGTACGTATGAACGGTTCGAGTTGCCATATCCCTTTGACACGAAGTGATAAAACTGTTAGGGCAAAGCTCACAATAGTATAAGTAGTAACGGTATCAGTGGTAGTAGGGCTACCTGGTTGAGGTCCGCGAGACGAAAGTCACCAATGGTTAGAGACCTTGAACGACATGGCTCAAAATCGTTTGCAATGGCGCAAGTGCATCCATTCTTTGAGCTCTCCCAGTTCCTAATCTTCTGGGTTCGTCAGCACCTCTACCTTTGTCTTTCTAACCTTATCTCACTGAATTATACTTCTTGAATAATATCTTCGAACCCTAGTCTTCTTCATTACCATTATTACCCCTACTATCTTTATCACTACCGGATTTGATCTGACATGTGCGTCTCTGTGCTAATGTGGTATGGCAACATGAACTTATGTGCATACGTGCAAAGTTCTACGTTGCAACTGACTGACAGTGGTAGTAGGTCAGTCAGTCAGTCAACAACAACATAGAAAGTCGTACGTACGTACATTAGTTCAAGTCGCCATACCGCATCAATACAGAGACGCAACTGTCAGTTCAACTCCCATAGTGTTATCTATAATAGAAGTATTAGCAGTATTAGAGAAGATTAGGATTCAGTGATATGATTAGAGAAGTATGATATAGTGAAATAAACTTAGAAAGAGGAATATAAGGGTTATGTAGAATTCAGAGGATTAGGATTTGAGAGAACGGGTACTAGGGGGTGTAGGAAGGACTTGATTTTGACCAATTTGGTCTCGCGTGCTGTTATGGGCATGAGGGCGGTTGTCACTTCCCGGCTGCCCACACCGTGGAAGGTTGTTTCTTGAGGAACCTGAAAAGGAAAATAGATAAGTGTTGGTCTTAGAGACCTGGGTGCGTGACCGCAGAGTCCAAGGGACAACTGCTTGAGGCCGGTCACGCACGGCTTTTTTACGAAACGTTTTTCGAGGATTAGCTCCGTTCTTAAAGGCCCTTAGTGGGCACCCTTACACAAGGAGACGGAAATCCGTGAGTTAGGAGAGATGTGACATTTTTAGGGCCGACCTTTTCTAACCCTTCTTTCCTTGTGAGAAGGCAGCATCGCTGCAGATGCTGGTTGTCCGAGGGAAACACCTTACTACTGTCACACCCCTCTGCAGTCAGCAGTACGACTTCGCCCTCAGACCTTGAGTAGCTGCTTTTAGTCTCATCGTTCTCCAATCGACCAGCCTGGCATGGTAGGACCTGCAGGAACATATGTTCCAGCCAGTATAGCTCGGCTGGGTCATCACGATAGGCAAGCCCGACCACCACGTCAAGGTAGCAGCTACGGTCGGGGATTTGAGAGAACATAAAGAATGAATGTACCTGAGCCATTGTAAAAGGTTTTTAGCCATATTGTTCAAGGTCTTTGACCATCGGTGACTTTTGTCTCGCGGACCCCATCCAGGTATTCGACACTTAACAACATGACTCAATGCAGTTGCCAATGACTTCATAGATTTGTGCCATGTTTTGGTTCGACCGCCCCTAGCTTTATTCTAACCTATTCCTACATCACGAAACATAGCTCGACTAGGCAGTCGGTGGTTGGGCATTCGTAACATATATTCCAACCACCTCAACTGATGAAGTTTCAATATTTCATCTATTGATCTGCCATCCCTATCTGGCACCCGTTTCCTAACGAAAGCATTGCTTACTCGGTTGTCCCATGATAAACGAGCAATGCTTCGGAGATACCTATGATCGAAAACCAGTAACCTACGAATATCTTCTACTCTGGCTGGCCATGCATCACAGACATAAAGTAAGACGGAGCGAACTACTGCACAGTACACTCGTCCTTTGGTTAGCAAACTGATATCTCACCTACTCTATAAGTGATGCAAGTTGGCAAAAGCGAATCGAGTCTTCTGTATCCGTGCTGAGATTTCGTTAATCACCTGGCCATCAACGCTGATGGAGCTCCCGTAGTAATTGAAGTGGTCGACACACTCACTTGTTCAGGAAGTGGAAAGAATTGGGAACCGAGAATCATATTTGAGAAGATAGAATATGATTCTTGAGAAGATATAAATCAGTGAAATTAAAACGCAGTTATTAGTGATGTAGAAGATTAAACCTTTTCCCGTGATAGTCTCACTAACGTCCGGATTTCCAATACCCGTTACCTTAATAAGTCTCTACTGTCTTGCTGCCTCCGCTCTTCATGATGTTCAGAGCCAGAGTAAATGAGTTTCCGAGCATCTGTTAACTCATTAGATGCCACCGAAATCCACTGATTTTTCCAACCTTTTCGTTCAACAGAATGACAGATATTACTGCTTTTTTCACAGCTTTTCGGATAACATTTCAAGCCAGCTCGGGGTGTGCATCGCCTACATGGTTGCTTAACTATTTTTCTAGTTGCTTCTGAAATGTACTCTTGACTTTTTTTTTAAGGAGAACTCTAATCGGTTTCTTTGCTTTATCTTTTTTACGTCCAGTAAGATGCAAATAAATATGTGCTTGTACTAGAGCATGGTCTGAATCTAAATTTTTGCCCCAGAATGAGCGACAGTATTCTGGTGAGCCTCTTCATTCGTGACCGATAGCAATGTTGTCTATTTGAGTCCAGCATCGAGTCAATTTTGGGAGTCGCCATGTCAAAAGATGTTTCTCTTTATACCTGAATTGGTGTTTGTTAGAAATAGATGATCAACTGAGCATAGTTCTAGCAGACGGTCGTCATTATCTGTTCGATGAACCACTACACTATTTATATGAGCACTAAAATCAACCACAACTGTTAAATTCTAACCCCTTTCGTCGTGAAAAGGTAGGATCGCCGTAGTTGTTAGTTGTCTGAACGAAACACAATACTGCTGTTACAGGTCTATAGTCAGCAGTACAACCTTTAGTTGATACTTTTAATCTTATTGTTCTCTAATCTATATGCTTGTTGTTATCCGACCAGAAGGAACATGTGTTTTAGTCAATATAACTTGGTTGAGCCATCAAGATAGGCAAACTCGACCACTACGTCAAATTAGCACACACTGTCAGGAGTTGCATACCATATTAACTCGGCGAGATTAAATTATTTCAAAACCTCCTAGGATAGTAAGAATAGTGATATTCTCAGTAGTAGTAGTAGTAGTGTGGTGCGCGCTACTTATAAGTAGTATATGACGCGAGTGTAAACGTAATGTCTGGCAGCAGTAGATGGGGGAAGATCAAGAAAGGAAGAGTGGGAACACAATGGAATTTGTATGAAACGCATGAACAGTGAAATGTCAGACAATGGATTGAAGATTTGCAAATTAACGGTTACGATATGGTTTTCCGATTTTACTGAGTAACTCTGTAATTTCCGTTAAATACAATTCGGTTTCCCTCACCTGTGTTCTCCTTCACTACAGTAGTAGTATCGAAAAAAAGATTTCTGAACTCAGGTTCAAAAGAAAGACAATGGTAACATGTACATGCGCTATTGTGAGCGATTCTGAGCCATGTGGTACGCTCGCACGTCATCACACAAATTCCATTGTGTTCCCACTATTCCTTTCTTGATCTTCCCCCATCTTCTGCTGCTAGACATTACGTTTTCACTCGCGTCATATACTACTTATAAGTTGCGCGCACCACACTATCACTCTCTCTCCTGAAAGATTAGTAATAATTGTGAATATTAAACAGTTGACAAAGAATAGATGAACATAAACTAATCAATAACTCATCACAATGTCACATAGATTAGTAATGTAACACATTTATTATTGAGAACATTGAATGTCGATAATAGATTATTAGGTCAATTAAATGATGAATAATATTTAAGAATTTATTTATTTACAAGATAACAAACATTGTCTAGAATAAAAAAACTAAACTTTGTAGCTTAACACATTTCTTTCTTGTTATTCATAAAATATTTCATTACTGTTGTTTTCTCTCAACTATCATCTACATTTTATATCGATTGATTTTGTTTGGCCTTCTCAGAGTTCTGGTGAGAAGACGTGATCAGTGGAGTTGAACCTTGTCTGGTGTGAGGTAGTAACTACACAAGACAAATGGGTGAAGTTGTGCAACAATCCATAGATTGATCAGAGTTAGACATTCACACTGTTAGATTCCAGTTTATTGGTCCAGAGGTTAAGCAAGACCGAAGGTCTTGACTTTAAATACTGCGAGTAGCAGCAGAAGTCGTGGATGAGCACTGCTGATGAATCCCAAATCAGGATGAGACGACCATCTAGTGATTTATATGTAAAATAAAGTATTTTGATAAGCTTCTTATTTTTTTACTAACACCTGCTACCTCCAATCGATCGTAGCCCGCAGACCACCCTTTTACAACCTTCTCTGTCCTAAACCTCCGTTTCCGGTTCTGTCCAATGTTTGTGCATTCTCCTTTTGTCTGTCTCCATTTCTCGGCCTAATGTGTTCCTTGACATTGCTCTTCTCCTTTGTCCCTGAGGATTCCAGGTAAGGGCTTGTCTTGTGATGCAGTTGGGTGCTCTTCGCAGCGTATACCCTGTCCACTCCCAGCACTTCTTCCTGATTTCCTTCCTCCACTGGAATGTGGTTTGTTCTTTCTCATGATAGGTTGTTGTTGATGGTGTCTGGCCAACGGATCCGAAGTAGTAAATAAGTTATATAATATCGATCAAGCCCATTTTCACATTTCTTTATAACTTCAATTATTTGACAAATAGTCATCAATATGTACATGAAAAGTTATCAACAATGTGATAACTAAAAATTATTTATTTAAAATGTACTTTAAAAGCAGAAATATGCATTTTGGTTTGTTCAACTTATGCAATTAGATGATGAACTTACTTAGAATCGTATGATAGACATATTGGTACAATGTATTTCAAACAATTTGATCATATATGTGTAACTGATATTTTTCATGAAGTGATCTAAGTTAGGAAAG